CCAACACAAATGTTTGAACTGTACTCTACTACAAAATTTGCGAATCACTAGATCAGTGATTCCCAATCACTGCCGTGGCACACTAGTGTGTCTTGAAGGATCATTAGGCGCACCAGGGAAAACTCTAGTTTCCCTTAATTTGTCTAAAAATAATTATTTATTATTGTAGTTTTTCGTTTTGTCAATGTGTGACAGACACAACAATTAAATACTCTTCCACTGGATGGCAGCAGACAGCTATGAATGCTAAAAAAACAGTGCTGTTAAAGAGGGTCTTTGTGTCTTTCTTTAATTCCTTTCTCTTGTGTGACCGTCTGTTCTCCTCTCATCCACACTCCTGCAGGAGGACACCACAGTCACGATCCAGCCGGCTCTGTGGAGGCCTCGCAGGCTAAGCTTGAAGCAGAAGCTGTCAGCGGGACTCATGAACACAGCCATGAACAGCTTCACGCCTGCATCGGTGTCTCTCTGGTCCTGGGTTTCGTCTTCATGCTACTGGTGGATCAGATTGGCAGTTCTCACGTGCACAGCACTGAAGGTCAGTCCAACAGCAGATGACTTGTTCACAGAAGTGCTTTACTAAATAATTAACAGTGCACAGGTGGTCAAAAATGGTGGCTGGTGACAGAGGCTTCTTTCTGGCAGCATTTATCATTTTTATTTTGTTGAACTGCACTCAAAACACCTACAGATGGCTCAACCACACATTCTGTTTTCCCAGATGCACCCACACTCAGAGCCAAACAATGTGAGTGTTTTTATTTAAACAGCCAAAGTTCCACCAACTCTTCAGTAACTTGCCAGTGTGTGGCGCTACACAGTGACCACTCATTATCACTTCTACCTCCATGTACCATATAGCTGACATTTACCATTATAACCAGTATTAGATATTGATTCTTTCATTCTTCGTCCTGTCCAGATCCAGAGTCTGCACGAGTCACTTCTTCAAAAATCACCACCACACTGGGTCTCGTGGTTCACGCTGCAGGTGGGTTTTTCTAATCCTCTCATGATGCTAATGAGCTGCTTCAGCTGACGCCAACATTAAAGCAACAGTATTCTCCAGACTAATTTGAATATTATTCAAACATTATGACTTTCCTGTGTTTATGAACACAAAGCAGCAGTTGAACACTTTTTAAGAAGGCCTAGTAGAAAACAGATTATTGGTGCTGATCTCCTAATTGACTTCCTAAAATCATAAAAGTTTGCCTGTGTCGTTACGCTTACTCCATGTTAAATACATATAAACAAAAGAATCATATAAAGACATTGCCCGAAATAACCTAGTAGTGTTACGACCACAGTGACGATAAAAAAACGATTACATTATTATCTAACAGTTTCTAAATGTCTGCAGCGGATGGAGTCGCACTTGGAGCTGCTGCCTCCACCTCCCAGACCAGCGTTCAACTCATTGTTTTTGTGGCCATCATGTTACATAAGGTAACTTCCCTCACACCTGCCAGAATATTTTCTGGTCTTATATTTCTAAATATAACTTCATCATCACATTGTAGATCTAACTGTTCCTGCAACAGTTGGAATGTTGAAAGAATGAAGAAAGGATGTGTCATACTTAAGAATTTTTTAAACTCTTGGTTTCCAGGTGTGTCAGTGAGTGACTGACGTCAGCAAGAGAAGAAAGGATGTGTCATACTTAAGAATGTTGCTCCAAGTGTGAATAAAATATATCAATAAAAACACAAATTCACTGTCAGTGTTTTTTTAGAATAAAAAATGTAATACATTTAAAAACAACCCTGCTTTTTGTGTGTTCAGGCACCAGCAGCATTTGGCTTGGTGTCCTTCCTGATGCATGCTGGTCTTGAACGGAACCGCATTCGCAAACATCTCCTGGTCTTCGCTCTGGCAGCTCCTGTCCTCGCAATGATCACATTCCTAGGCCTCAGTCAGGTAAAGAAGGACACACACACACACACACATATATATATATATATATATACACACACACACACGCACGTATATATGTGTATATATACGTATATATTTGTGTGTGTGTGTGTGTATGTATACATATGTATATATGTGTATATATGCATATATATGTATATATATTTGTATATATATGTATTTATATATGTGTATATATGTATACATATACTGCTGTCTGTATGTATATATGTATGTAACATAGATCAACTCCATTATCAGTTTTTCACAGCTACATGAAGTGATCTTGTCTGACCAAACCTGTGTCCTTCTTTCTGGACTTTGTTCTGTTTCATCTTCCTCTCCACCCTCAGAGCAGCAAAGAAGCCCTGTCAGACATTAACGCCACAGGCGTGGCAATGCTCTTCTCTGCTGGCACCTTCTTGTACGTGGCCACCGTCCATGTCCTTCCTGAGGTGGGGGGTGGGGGCCACAGCCACTCCCCCGCAGGAGGCAATGGAGGAAAGGGACTGAGCAAAGTGGAAGTGGGAGCTCTGGTTCTGGGCTGCCTCATCCCTCTGGTTCTGTCCGTGGGCCACCACCACTAGACTCTGTTGAACAGAGAAGGACACGCAGAACCAGAGACGTCGGAACTACTTGGATAGAAACGTCTTAACCCCTGTCTTCAGCCGGAACTTCTGGATCAAACCAGTCTTCTGAAGAACCTGACCCAGAACTGATGCAGAACAGTGGACAGTGTCAGAAAAACCAGTTACTCCAGCGGAAACTAAGACAAACAACAAACAAACAAACAAACAAACAAACGATGTGACTGTTTTTTTTCCTGATACCAACAGAGTACAGCTACTGTACAGGTCCAGACGTGTCCCACCAGCTCCCTCTACTGATAAAGGCCGCAAGACGGTTCATTCAGTTTATTCAAACTCCTCTCGTCATTGTCAACTAGCCAACGAACCGACTCCCACTTCAACACAGTGATGTTTTGTTTTGTTTGTTTGTTAGACGGCTGTTGCACAGTGAGATTTAGACGTTGTCCTGATGTAGCTGTTTATCAGTACAACTGTACAGAACTGCGTCAAACTGACTTTTCTAGTGCCATATTAACACATCTGAAACAGACCCTCTGAGTAAACCCAGGGCGGTGGATTGTTGGGGCGACGACTCCTGATGAATATCGGTCTTTCCTGTAGATTCACACAGTGATGGTCCTGTCGAACCAGAGCCAGGCGCAGTAGAAACCTGGTGGTATTTTGAACATAGTGCTGTTATCTGTTGTCTTGAGCTTTGCATACACACCACTGTGTGTCTGGGCCCGTTAAAAATAAGTATTTTCTTATAGTTGAAAACTGAAAAAAATTCAGATTTTTTGAGATAACCAGACAATTCCTTCTGTTTTAGACTTTGGTTTGAAAAGGGATCTTTGCGGCAGAACCATGCCAGTTCAAAGAGCTAACAGTGGTGTGTTATTAGTAATAGGTACATGTTGCATTGCACTTGTAATAATATTTGAGCATGATGCAAATTGAGGCAAAGATCTGCCCCTCCAGGTTCCCCTTGTACCTACTGGTTGAACTTGAGGCCAAAATAGAACCAAACAGTTTTTTTCTTCTGCTGTGGCTCCTTTAACAACATCGCTCTGTTCTGAAAACACCCTGGTTTTTTAGGTGAGGTTAAGATGGGATCAAGGTCCAGAAATGTGACAGATGTTTGACCTGATTTGTGTCTGGATGTGTTTGACTCTTTTCTGTTTTACATGGGAATTAATTAATATAAATAGGCGTGGCAGATGAGCTGTTGTAAAGTTTGTATAATGTGTTATTTCAAGGTGAAAGGGTTTTTTTAATCTTTTGATTGAGGCGAATATAAAACTAAACTTCCTGTTATCCTTTAGGGACCATGAGCCTAAACAGACGGACATCACTGGTTTCATTTGCTATTTTTCATGAACCTACAGCTTCACTAACTGCAATTATGATTTACATGTCGTCAGAATATGAGTGAGTTGAATGCAGCATCACTCTCTGCTCCATTAAACCCTACACCAGTTAGATCATTAACATCCAAAGCAGCTGCTCTGTTTCTGGATGAGAAGTCTGTGTCACTGCCTGCTGAAGCATCAAGTCATCCTGCAAATGTAAAATACAAAATCTTTCTTTTATTGTTCTTCTTTCCCTTTTTTTCCCCCCAATCTTGTAGTCCACAGTCTTAGGCTGCTGTGACACATTTTACACTCTGTTCATCAGTGGATTCTAGAAGGCATTGGTTCCCAAACTGTTACTGCAGCACCTTTGGTAGACAGGATTATAAAATCACGTTGGCCCACACCTTGATAAATCTTTAAAAGTCCATTGCATTTTGATTGTAACGCTGTGCCTACATAACTATTATTCTCATTGAACAAATTAAATAATATTGTATGTCAGTGCAATCCTGCAAATTGGAAAAATACCGAATATGTAAGTTACACTGTGGCCACAACAGAATTAGAAAATACAAAATCTTTGAATCTTAGAATTATTAAATCAGATTTAAGTCTTTGATCAATATAGTAATAATAATTATTTTTAATTATTACATCTTAAATTTATAATTGACCTCCAACCTAAATTTTGAGAATATTAGGGTCGTAATTCTGACTCGTAATTATTTATGCAGAATTCCAATTTAAATCGTATTAATTCAAACTTAAATTGCACCAACATTTTCAAGACATTTTTGTCTCCCGGACGAAGCAGCCACATGATCTGTTTTCACTTAACTTCAGGCGCAGACGTCGCTCAGTCCTACACAATAAACTTTTAATTGAATGTAATGAAATTAGCCAGAAACGGTAAAACAGTCCTTCAAACCCACAGAATAATTTACACAGCTGTCAGAACACTCGACTTCTCCAGACAAAGAAAAATATTAGTATTTTTGAATGATTAACATTTACATGTACTCACACAGTGCATCTTCTCTGTTAACTGGGATTTGGCTAAAGCTTTGGAGTAGGTTCTGTTTGTTTCTGTTTAGCCTGGTGTTTTTATTTTTTATTTTTGTTTCCTGCCATTCCAGACTCTGCCTTATTTCCACGTTTGATTGTACAAATCAACTGTAAAGCGATGTTTGTGTTTGATGACGACTAAATTAAAGTTGTTTTTTAACTGGTGAAGATTTGGAGGAACATTGTGGTGATGTAAAGTTATTCTAGTTGTTTTTAATTTGTCAACAGATGTCGCCCGAGTCCGAGCTCCATTGATCAACTGCAATTATTGAACTGTCAAATGGAATATTGTTTAAACCAAGGTAAGAAGTCATGTATTCTTAACTCTGTTAAACAGTTTCCTGGAGGGACGGGCTGTTTCCTTCTGTCTCTGCACAGACTGAGCTGTTAATGTCTTTATAATCTGCCTTCTCTGCTCTGACACACGTCCTGTAAATTAATCTGGTGTTAAAGCTGCGTGTTAACCTCGTCTGACTCTCCATCCTCTTCATCAGAGAGCCGAACAGCCACGCCTTGGCTGAAGATGTTCTGCTGATTCACTGGATGGATGAACTGAGTTGGACTCTGCTGCTGCTGCTGCTGCTGCTGCTGCTCTGAGAGCACAGTAATCCCAGTAACAGCTTTTACTGGCTGCAGTGTATCGACCGGGTTCAGATTTAGTAACTCAGTCCTAAAGATTCCCTGCCTGCCTCCTCTTCCTGCGTGTGGTCAGTCAGCCTCCAGCTGATGACAGTATTGGCAGCTGCATCATTCCACCCTGCTGGATTATTGGGATTTTCTTTTCCTACTTTTCCAGCTCTGCTGCTGCTGCTGCACGTGTCCTCTCCTCATCCTCACTGTTTGATTGATTCTGTTTTGGTCTCATTGTTATTGACTGGAACATCCATTGATATTTTCTGAACCAACCTCTCTCCCTGGGTGAGCTAACTCACTGACAATGTTTTCGTCTTCGTCCAGACACTCTTTGCCCTCGAACTGGTCGTCCATGGAGCATTCCGACAGCGAGGTGCTGGACATCAGCACCAAAGTGCAGCTTCATGGAGTTCTGTGGAAGAGGCCTTTCGGACGACCTTCGGCCAAATGGTCCCGCAGGTGAGAGTCGGGGTTGATTTAAGAGGGTGGGAGGTTGTTGCTGCCCCTGAGGGTTCAGGCTTCTAAGATGTTGGGAAATAGCATGAAACAAATAACTTGACTTTTTTGTCGTAAATAATTTAACTTCCTGGATCTGATCTGTAATGTCTAATGTATAATCTTTGAATTATCCTTAACACATTGCTGAGATCCATTTATACTTATAGGGAAAAAATAAATATCTGAGTTTTTTCAGATTTTTTTTTCTTTTAAACTTCCATCATGAAAATGAAGTTATTTCTGTTTCTACAGATTAAACCAATCTTTTTTAGAGGTTTTTCTCCTCAACTGTTGGTGTTAGAGTGTCGTAGGTCTCGTCCTCTCTGAAGAGTGTCATGATTTCTATTCTTGAATGTGTGATGACATCAGCCATCCACTGATCACATTTGTGCTGAGAAGACCAACAGACCTTGGTTCCTCTCAGCGCCACTGGTTTGACTCACTGCTGCTCTCCTGTCTTCCTCTGCACTAAGGTTCTTCATCATCAAAGACAGTTTCTTGCTCTATTATGCTGAGAGCGAGAAGAGAAACTTTGAGACCAACCGGTTCTTCAACATCCACCCAAAGGTGAGGATCAGCTGCTGCTTCTGTTTCTTAGACTGCACCAACATGGAGTTTTTAAATACGTGTGTGTGTGTGTGATTGTCAGGGAGTAATTCCTCTGGGTGGGTGTGTGGTGTCCATCGGTGAAGACCTGGGGATGCCCTTCTCTATCGTCATCAACCTGGAGGACTTCACAGTAATAAACGTTTTTAGATTTATGATTCAGAACACACTCACTGTACCACAGTGGAGCAAATGTGTTAATGTCACAGCAGCAGAAGTCATGGTTAAACGGAAATAAAAAAGTAAAAAAAGTACAGCAGCAGAATAGACAGGAAATGAAAAAAAAACATAGCCAGCAGCAGATTAGACAGGAAATGAAAAAAAAACATAGCGTTGAGTAACAGAGTAAAAACAATCTCACGTTAATGCAGCAGTGGAGCTGATTCTACAAAGATCTACAGACATGATTGGTTGTGATTGGTTTTTTATTGATGTCAATCAATAGTCTAAAAAATGTCTAAATACAGACAATGTCTAACTTCATATTGAACCAGCAATTTTACTCTAATCTTTAACTAATAACTAATACTTTAAATAGACTATTGGTAACATTCTTTTCATTGTTTGCTGTTGAATTAAATATACCTGATAATAAATTCTCTGTTTAGGGTTTAACTAATAACTAATACTTTAAATAGTATTTTTTATTTTTTTTGGACTGGGCTTATTTCACACCTGCCATCTGGAAACATCATTTAAAAAAATATTTTTCTGCAGCTTTTAGATTTTGAATCTCCACACACTTGTATTTGTGTCTGTGCTTCAGGGCACCGTCGTCCTGGCTGCTGAGTCTGAGGTGGAGCAGCTGCAGTGGATGGAGATGCTGCAGGACTCTGGGAAAGTGTGAGTCTTCGTCCTACTGGTTAGAATTATAAAATTTAAAGTAGGAGCGTTTGATGGTTTAGCATTGACCACAATTTAGAAAAAAAAGAATACATTTCTTAAAGTAAAGTCCAGGTGGGAAACAGGTTGAGATGCAACAAACCACCAGGGGGCGTCTCCCATGACTGCAGAAATAAATGAGTCAGCAGTTAACGAAGCTACTTCTCATGTGCTAATGGCTTTATAGGGAAAAGCTTATGGTGTTTATACCATAGATAAGGTGTAAAATTCTGATCCTCTTTAGTGGAAAATACATGATAAAGACTGGGGATCGATTTTCTGTGCAGGATCTATGGTCCCGTGGTACTGATGACCTAACAGTTAATGGACGACCTTCTCCTCTCTCTGTCCTGCTTCGGCTTAAAGCCTTATAATTGGCCGGTTAACAAATATTAATTTCTCTGTGTTTTATTTTGATTGACAGCTTTTAGCACCGTAGAAATCTGATATTTACACTTTTGTTGATGTCATATTTTTACTGCTCCTCCAGAACATGGAAGAACGCTCAGCTGGGTGAAGCCATGATTGAGAGTCTGGAGGCTCAGGGGTTGCAGTTGGCCAAGGAGAAGCAGGGGTATCTGGGTAAATGTGGAGAATGTCTGCTGCGTTTATGGACCTTTAGAAGCTTGAAGCTCCAGTGTGTAAATGTGTAAGAATCAGTGACATCTGAGGGTCAGATGTAGAAATTAGTAGAAGAAGCCCTTGATTTACTAACTAAAAAAGGGAACAACAGTTCAAACACCACCCTCCTGTTTCAAAGTCATTTTGTTTTCATTTAGGTTTAAGGTAAAAATGAGGTGTGTGCACAAAAGATTAAAATGCCATGGCTGGGAAAATGTAATGTTTTCCTTAAGTTAACAAACCTATGTTGATGATGCTCAAATCATGTGGTTTTCTGCAGACAAACTGATGGAGGAGACGGAGGAGCTGAGTCAACAGAGAGCTCAGACAGAGGTGAGACACAACAGATATCTCTAGGTGTATTTAGTTTAGTTTCATTTTCAAGACTTTTCCTGGTGCAGAACAAAAAGAAAAGATAAGTTTTGTGAGAAAAAAAAGTCTTCTTGGACCCAGAGGACTGAGTGGTCGGGTTTAGGAGGGTTTTTTTTTCCCACTGCAGCTTCATTTCCTGCTCCTCTCTCTCTCCGTCCTTCCTGTCACTGCGTTTCCTGCAATGTGAAGAATCTCATTTGTTCACTTCTCCAGTACTGCAGCAACACACTGTGACATTTGTGTTTGCAGGAGCTGGAGCGCCTGAACCAGGTCCTGGAGGAGGAGAAGATGAAGTTTGAGGAGGTGGTGCTGGAACTGAAGACAGAGCAGGAGCAAATAAAACTGTAAAGACACTGTTTGTTGACTCAGGTTCCAGAACGTTTTATTATAACATTTAAAGACCTTTGACCTTTGTATCACGGTCTTATTTTGGTCTCAGGGACCTGGACGGAACAGCTCAGTCCCTGAAGGGTGTGGAGACGGAGAAGGAGGAGCTGAGCAGCTTAACGGGGATGCTGCAGAGATCCATCGAGGTACCAAAACCCAGACTGATTCTCAGTGGAGGAGAAACATCAGGTCTAAGAGTCTGCTCTGCTCCTGCAGGAGTTGTCGCAGGAGAAGCTGAAAACTCTGCAACTGCTGGAAGTGAAGAAGCAGGAGGAGGAGGGTGAGCAGCAGGAGGAGAAGAAGAGTGAGGAGAGCTCAGTTCTGACCTGCAGGGAGACTGAGGAGGAGGAGCAGGAGGTCAGGGAGAAAGATCTGTTGAAGGACCTGAGACACATCGAGCAGCAAATGAAGATCCTTCTGCAGGAGAAGGAGCAGGCGCAGGAGAAGTGAGTCCACTCTACTTCAGCTTAGTCTAGTCATCAGCTTTGGTGAGTTTAGCTTGACTTGTCTTAGTTTAGCTTGAGTAATCTGAGTGTTGGGGAGTTTGTAATTTGTTTTTTTGTATTGTGTGGTTTTAGATTTGTTTTATTTTGGGCTTGTTTGATTCGCTAGTTCAGCTTGGTTTACTTAAACCTAACTTTGTTAACTTAAATGGAGTAGGTTAAAGTAAATGGAGTTTAGTTTTTTTACACTTCAGTTTAGCCTAGCTTTCTTTAGTTGATCATTTGTCAGTTTAGTTGAGCTTAGCTTTGGTAAACTTATTTTATTTCTTTTTAGATTAATGCAGTACTTCTCAAACAGTGGGGCGAGCCCCCCTGGGGGAGGCGCGGTGAAGTGCCGGGGGGCCGTGAGGGCCTTCCAATGAAATATGGCACAACGGACATAGCTGTACCACTGCTGTAAAGCTTGAAATATAACAAGCCTCCAGTCACTAGGTGGCAGCAAGGGGGTGTGGGTCGGGCAGGGGAGGTTAAGGGGGGGGCTGGATTATTTAGAGTTTGTCTTTGTTTAGTTTAGCTTATTAATGCTAAACTGAGTTTAGGTGAAGAATGCTTCACTGTGGATCAGTGGGTTTGGTAACTCAGCTCTGTGTTGGTCTTCTGAGCTAGTTCTGTTGACATTCATACTGGTTGGAGTTATTATATGTTCAGTTTGTGTTGGAGATAAATCTGATTGGTTTCTCCTGTTTGGTTTATTTATGTTAAATGAAGTTATTATATAATGCGGGTCTAATTATGTCACTATGACACTTGGGTCATTATATAAATGTATATATATATATATATAGTTAGAGAGTCACGTTAACTGTTTTCTGTCACTGGGAGGAGAAACATTAGAGCAGTGCAGGTCTTGTTGTGTCCACAGGGTCGAAGCCTCTGACTTTTCCACTGTTGTCCACTAATGGGTCAGAGGATGTAAATACTGCTGGAAATGTTTATTGATCATCAACCCATTACAGGCAGCTGCTATTGACTGTGTGCCACTAATGTTGTTCTGCTGCAGTCAGTGAAACATGCTGCTGTTGTCTGACTGACAGGAAAACACACTCTCAGATTGGCAGTGCTGATTCAAGCCTTTGGAAATGTTAACAATACTCTGACACGAACTTTAGAAAATCCACCACTGTAACAAAGCAGCATCCTCTTAATCCTGTGGATGCTCTGAGAGGATTTACCCCAGGCTGAAAATAGTTGGGACGTTAAAATAATCCAAATAAATGGCCGTGTGTCTCTGCTCAGCCTGACCTCCAGTGTGTTTGTCTCTCAGGCTGATGGAGAACGACCAACGGGCCAAGATCCTGCAGCAGGAGAGAGAGTTCTACTGGTCTCAGGCTCGGACGCTGCAGCAGTCGCTCTCTCAGCTCACTGTGGACAAACAGCAAACTGAGGCCGAGCTCAAGGTAAAACAGGGGTCAGCGGGAGGTCGGCAGGAAAAGTTTTAGGCGATTTGTGCATTTTTATTCAATTTAAGACATTTCCAAAACATTATTAGTAACATAATAACATTATTATTAGTATGTTTCTCTTGATCAAAGGTTGATTTTCTGAAATCTCAGCACAAAAAAGCACATAGCTCCATATGTTTAGGCAAATTAGTGCTTTTTTATGCAGTTTTTAAGAAGTGGTTTTTAAACACAACAGCAGGTGTTGCTGGAAACAAGCCTGTGTCATTTTAAATATGTTCTAGGTTTTTTTTAGATAAGAGAGAGAAATCTAATATAAGTCAAATATAGCCATGTCTTACTAAAGGTTACACCGAACGTTGGTCACCCAATTGAACTAGGAAGACATTTGTCTTTATGTATTAACTTTAAATAAGGAATAATTGGATGAGGTGATACATACATTTATCGATACCAGTCCTGTGATCTGATTGGTTCTGATGTTGTTTAATGTCTTAGGCGGAGATCGAGTCTCGGCTGGAGCTGGAGAAGAGGCTGAAAATGGCTGAAGAAGCTCTGAAGAACCTGGAACATGGTCTGAACTCACTGGAGAGGAGCAGAGAGGGTGACGAGAAGATGAGGGGAGACGTGTCTCAGCTGAGGAGTGAGTTTAACCTGCAGGTCGTCTGTTGTCTGGGTGAACTCTGGGTTAGACCCACAGTGTAAGAAAAAAAACAGGTTAAACTGGAGGTCGATGAAAGAAATGAGAAAACAAAAATGACAATAGTTACAGTATAATTCGTAACCTAAATACCAACCAAACTATAATACATTACACCGACGTTTAAAACCAGTCATATTTTCGTATTTTGTCGCCCTCTGCTGGCGAGAATGTATATTACAGATGTATAGTCAGACGGCGCGTGTCTTACACTGTTTATATTAAATAACATTTAAAAATGTTATCATACAAATGGCAATCTTATTCCATATAACATTTATGATGTAATATAATTATTTAGCTCCTTACTGTGATTTGTTTTATTGTGTAATAGTATTGCATAATACTATTAAAAATAAATATTATACATATAATCATATAGTTATCATTCAGTGTAATGTAAAAATTAATTGTTAAAATTAGTGGTTATTATTTGTCATATTTGAAGACACATTGTCACAATATTAAATTATATAATTGATTAAAACCATCAATAACATCACTGTGGTTCATAAACAGTTATAATAATGAATATAGATACATGATCTGTAGTTTTTTACCTGCAGTCAAAAATGTGAACTGTCTAATACATGATGATGAGTATCCAGCATTATCTGTGCCATGTATCTTTTATCATCCAATCCATTTGTGTAATATTTCCCAGAATTCTTTGAGGAGTGCATCAGTGCAGCAGAGCTTGAGGCCAAACTTCCTGCCATCATGAAAAATGCAGTTTATCTTCACAAAGCCGCCGCTCGCCGAATCAAGAGCTGCAGGATTCAGAGGAGAGCGTCCAGACATCACTGGTGTGAGTCTCACTGACACACACTGACACACTGACACACGCCTCACACATTGACACACACTTTTATGCTGTTCAGTTCAATATTTATCTTTATTAACCAGTTTTTTTATACCCAACTAAACTCCTACTGTTAGTCTTATATAAGTATGATTTTTATCAAATAGAATTTATTAACACAATAAGCAAATTTGAGAGTTAATTTAAATAAACACACAGGTGAAGTTAGAAGAATAAAATGTTTTTTTTTTATCTTTATTTTCCTGTGTATGTCTGTGCTATCTTCTGGCTTGTAAATAAAATTTAGATACATTACTGCCCCCTAATGGGGAGGTGTGTGTGTCAGCATAATAGTGTGGCAGAAGATAGAGAAATAAGAAAGATGTGATTTAAGTGGCTGCTTTATCTATATTTTTGACATGTTATTTTGTCCCATCCATCCAAACTAATGCCTCTCGTATCTGTCTCCAGTGAAACACTCAAAGTCCTTCGCTGCAGGCAACGGCAGCAGCAGCAGCAGCAGCGTGGAGGACCTGAAGGAGACGGCCAGACGACTGACCTCTGACATCAGCCTCAGACAGAATGTCTACAAGGTCATCGCTCGCACGGACGCCACCACCAAGAAGGACGGATAAGACAGAGGTTAGACGTGGACAGTGAGGGACTACTTTGAAGTAGGATCTGTAGACGTTCTTCTTCTGGGTTCCCTCATGGAGCAGTGTGACAGCTCAGTAACTAAACCCACTAAACCAAATGTTTGAAGAATCTACTTCAGGTGGAGATTAAGTGAGGAGTAAAGGATATTTGTAGATTTGTTTAAATTTTTAAAAGCACAAAAATATTTAATTCTTCCTTAGAAGTATTTACTGTAAATATCTAACTGTGTATTTTAAAACACTAAGAATAAATAGGTATCTCTAGCCCAGTGTGTGATTGGTAGGGTGTATGGTGAGTAACTGTGGTACTGTATGAGACAGTCAGGAGTGGCAGAGAAGAATTTGAGGCTGTAGAATATGTGCTAGGCCAGCAAGACAATCGTAAGATGTGCAGTCAGAGTGACCAATGGGTTCAAGGTCGTGGGTTGGTTACATCAAGGGTCAGCTGTTAGCTGCTTTTTTGTTGCTGTGTTGATAGACAGTTAGACAGATGAGGTCAGACATGGACCGTGATGTTTACAGGTGACATTGTCGTCTGTGGTCAGAGTAGGGAGGAGGTGGAAGAAAACCTGGAGAGCTGGAAGTTTGCTTTGGAGCAAAGAGGAATGAAGGTCGGCAGGAGCAAGACTTAAAACGTTTGTAAATGCAGGAAGTGGAACATTAAAGCAGCATGAGGTGAGTGCAGCAAGTGGAACATTAAAGCAGCATGAGGTGGAGTACTAAAGGTGGATGAGTTTGAATACCTACGGTCAACAATCCAGAAGAATGAACAGAGGTGAAGAAAGGGTGAATGCAGGAGGATTTGATGGAGACAAGGGAATATCTGTGACAGAAGAATAGCAGCAAAGTTAAAAGGGAAGAGTTATAAAACAGTAGTGAGACCTGCTATGATATATGGTTTAGAGACAGTGGCTCAGTCTAATAGTAGAAGGTCAGAGGAACAGTTAAGGTGGAGCAGTTTAGAGATAAAGGTAGAGAGGTGAGGTTGAGGTGGTTTCAGATGGAGCTGACGGAAAAACCTCAGTGAAGATGTATGGATGTAGCCACAGAGGACATGGAGATGGTTGGTGTAGCAGTAGAGGTGGCAGAAGGTCAGCAGTGTCAATAGAAAAATTTTAGATTTTAAAATATTTAGTAAATGACACAGAGCATATACTGTACATCAGAACAATTTACGTTAATATAACAAAAAGTTAAAGAAAGAAATGCATCACATGTTTATAGAGAAGGAGTCAAAGTTAAATTAAACTGAATGAAGTTGAAATGAAATGATGTGAGAACAGGAAAACGCAGAAGTTCTTCTCCTTTTTGGAAAATGTCTTTATTCCTCATTTCTCTGATTTAAGTTGTTCAAATAACATGGTCAGAATTCTTATCTCCACCTTTACATTACTGCACCATCTGGAAGTCTGTGCATGATGAAAAATATTGGGAGTAATTAGGAAAGAAAGCAGGCAAATGATGGTCATGTACAAATGATATGATATAAAAAGAACAACGTTCCCTAATGACGACAGAGCCATGTTCTAACCCCAACACTGTTGACCAGCACAGATGAACTGATCCAAGGTGCAACGCTTTAAAGTGGAATAGAAGAAGAAAAGATGTTTGTATTGAAGTAAATGTTGTCCTGGCTCCTGTAAAAAAAAAAAAAGTAAAATCAGTGAATAAAGTTCCATGAACAACAATCACCTGTTGCTGCTGATTTCTTATTAAAGGCAAATACAAGGTCAAGAATGTCAAATTTTTTACCTCAACACATGAAATTAAATTATATAAATCAGAAATTAATAACTTATAAAAAAAAACTAATAAAAATTAATAAATCAGAAAATAAAAAGTATTTTGTAACCAGCCTGCAGAAGTTTGGGCATATTATATACTGTAAATATAATTTGAGCAAAAAATATATATAAATCAAAGTATTTTCTAGGTCAAAACTATCAAAAATTACATACAATTAAAAAATCTTTTAAAAAGACTCTTTTTAAAACATTTTTAAAAAATCAAAATTTAATCTTTTCTGCAGCATTTTGAGAAATGTGTTATAACTATGTTCATTAAAATTTTAAAAATAAAAATTCAAAATATAATGTTTTCTGCACATTCTCATCAGATAAGAGCAATTAAAAAACATTTTGAATTTATAAACTTTTCTGTAAAAATGTGAACTTCGTGTCATTTATGGTCAAAAACTAAAAAGATATGACAAAAACTTTTAATAAATGTATTATTTTTTAATTTGATCTTTTCCTGCATGTTTCTCATAAAATTAGGGCATTTAGAGAACATTTTCAGATTTTTTTTCTATAATATTCTCTGTCAAAATGTGAACCTTTTGTGTCATTTCTGGTCAAACACTAAAAGTTTGATGAAAATGTTTGTAAAAACATTTTTCTAAAACAATAAAAAAATTTACGAATGTTTTTGTAATTTTGTCAAAGTTTTTG